AACACCGACACAAGCTTCCCTAACCAGGAAACCTTGACAAGCCAATCGTCCAACCCCACCCACTAGGTGAAACCTCCACAATAAAAAGAAACCACAGACCACCAGAATACAGAAAGCCCACTCCAGACACAGCAATCTAAACAAGATGAAAAGGCAGAGAAATACCCAACAGGTAAAGGAACATGAAAAATGCCCACCAAGTCAAACAAAAGAGGAGGAGATAGGGAATCTACCTGAAAAAGAATTTAGAATAATGATAATAAAAATGATCCAAAATCTTGAAAACAAAATGGAGATACAGATAAATAGCCAGGAGTCAAAGATTGAGAAGATGCAAGAAATGTTTAATAAGGACCAAGAAGAAATAAAAAAGAGTCAATGAAAAATGAATAATGCAATAAATGAGATCAAAAACACTCTGGAGGGAACCAACAGTAGAATAACGGAGACAGAAGATAGGATAAGTGAGGTAGAAGATAAAATGGTGGAAATAAATGAAGCTGAGAGGAAAAAAAAAAAGAATTAAAAGAAATGAGGACAATCTCAGGGACCTCTGGGACAATGTGAAATGCCCCAATATTCGAATCATAGGAGTCCCAGAAGAAGAAGACAAAAAGAAAGGCCATGAGGAAATACTCAAGGAGATAATAGCTGAAAACTTCCCTAAAATGGGGAAGGAAATAGCCACCCAAGTCCAAGAAACCCAGAGTCCCAAACAGGATAAACCCAAGGTGAAACACCCCAAGACACATATTAATCAAATTAACAAAGATCAAACACAAAGAACAAATTTTAAAAGCAGCAAGGGAGAAACAACAAATAACACACAAAGGGATTCCCATAAGGATAACAGCTGATCTATCAATAGAAACCCTTCAGGACAGAAGGGAATGGCAGGACATACTTCAAGTAATGAAAGAGAATAACCTACAACCTAGATTACTGTACCCAGCAAGGATCTCATTCAGATATGAAGGAGAATTCAAAAGCTTTACAGACAAGCAAAAGCTGAGAGAATTCAGCACCACCAAACCAGCACTTCAACAAATGCTAAAGGATCTTCTCTAGACAGGAAACACAGAAAGGTTGTGTAAACGCGAACCCAAAACAACAAAGTAAATGGCAATGGGACCATACCTATCAATAATTACCTTAAGTGTAAATGGGTTGAATGCCCCAACCAAAAGACAAAGACTGGCTGAATGGGTACAAAAACAAGACCCCTATATATGCTGTCTACAAGAGACCCACCTCAAAACAAGGGACACATACAGACTGAAAGTGAAGGGCTGGAAAAAAATATTTCATGCAAATGGAGACCAAAAGAAAGCAGGAGTCACAATACTCATATCAGATAAAATAGACTTTCAAATAAAGGCTGTGAAAAGAGACAAAGAAGGACACTACATAATGATCAAAGGATCAATCCAAGAAGAAGATATAACAATTATAAATATATATGCACCCGACATAGGAGCACCACAATATGTAAGGCAAACACTAACGAGTATGAAAGAGGAAATCAATAGTAACACAATAATAGTGGAGACTTTAATACCCCACTCACAACTATGGATAGATCAACTAAACAGAAAATTAACAAGGAAACACAAACTTTAAATGACACAATGGACCAGCTAGACCTAATTGATATTTATAGGACATTTCAACCCAAAACAATCAACTTCACCTTTTTCTCAAGTGCACACGGAACCTTCTCCAGAATACATCATATCCTCGGCCATAAATCTAGCCTTGGTAAATTCAAAAAAATTGAAATCATTCCAGTCATTTTTTCTGACCACAGTGCAGTAATATTAGATCTCAATTACAGGAAAAAATTATTAAAATTCAAACATATGGAGGCTAAATAACACACTTCTGAATAACGAACAAATCATAGAAGAAATCAAAAAAGAAATCAAAATATGCATAGAAACGAATGAAAATGAACACACAACAACCCAAAACCTATGGGACACTGTAAAAGAAGTGCCAAGGGGAAGGTTCATAGCGTTACAGGCTTACCTCAAGAAACAAGAAAAAAGTCAAATAAATAACCTAGCTCTACACCTAAAGCAACTAGAGAAAGAAGAAATGAAGAACCCCAGGGTTAGTAGAAGGAAAGAAATCTTAAAAATTAGGGCAGAAATAAATGCAAAAGAAACTAAAGAGACCATAGCAAAAATCAACAAAGCTAAAAGCTGGTTTTTAAAAAAAATAAACAAAATTGACAAACCGTTAGCAAGACTCATTAAGAAACAAAGGGAGAAGAACCAAATTAACAAAATTAGAAATGAAAATGGAGAGATCATGACAGACAACACTGAAATACAAAGGATCATAAGAGACTACTACCAGCAGCTCTATGCCAATAAAATGGACAACTTGGAAGAAATGGACAAGTTCTTAGAGAAGTATAACTTTCCAAAACTGAACCAGGAAGAAATAGAAGATCTTAACAAACCCATCACAAGCAAGGAAATCGAAACTGTAATCAGAAATCTTCCAGCAAACAAAAGCCCAGGACCAGATGGCTCACAGCTGAATTCTACCAAAAATTTAGAGAAGAGCTAACACCTATCTTACTCAAACTCTTCCAGAAAATTGCAGAAGAAGGTAAACTTCCAAACTCATTCTATGAGGCCACCATCACCCTAATTCCAAAACCAGACAAAGATGCCACAAAAAAAGAAAACTACAGGCCAATATCACTGATGAACATAGATGCAAAAATCCTTAACAAAATTCTAGCAAACAGAATCCAACAACATATTTAAAAAATCATACATCATGACTAAGAGGGCTTTATCCCAGGAATGCAATGATTCTTTAATATCTGCAAATCAATCAATGTAATACACCACATTAACAAATTGAAAGATAAAATCCCTATGATTTTCTCAATAGATGCAGAAAAAGCCTTTGACAAAATTCAACATCCATTTATGATTAAAACTCTCCAGAAAGCAGCAATAGAAGGAACATATCTCAACATAATAGAAGCTATATATGACAAACCCACAGCAAGCATTACCCTCCATGGTGAAAAATTGAAAGCATTTTCCCTGAAATCAGGAAGAAGACAAGGGTGCCCACTCTCACTACTACTATTCAACATAGTTTTGGAAGTGCTGGCCACAGCAATCAGAGCAGAAAAAGAAGTAAAAGGAATCCAGATAGGAAAAGAAGTGAAACTCTCGCTGTTTGCAGATGACATGATCCTCTACATAGAAAACCCTAAGACTCTACCAGAAAATTACTAGAGCTAATGAACAAATATAGTAAAGTTGCAGTAAAGACAACCTCTTTAACAAGTGGTGATGGGAAAACTGGTCAACCACTTGTAAAAGAATGAAACTAGAACACTTTCTAACACCATACACAAAAATAAGCTCAAAATGGATTAAAGATCTAAATGTAAGACCAGAGACTATAAAACTCCTAGAGGAGAACATAGGCAAAACACTCTGACATAAATCACAGCAGGATCCTCTATGACCCACATCCCAGAATATTGGAAATAAAAGCAAAAATACACAAATGGGACCTAATGAAACTTAAAAGCTTTTGCACAACAAAGGAAACTATAAGCAAGGTGAAAAGACAGCCCTCAGACTGGAAGAAAATAATAGCAAATAAGCAACAAAGGATTAATCTCAAAAATATACAAGCAACTCCTCCAGCTCAATTCCAGAAAAATAAATGACCCAATCAAAAAATGGGCCAAAGAACTAAACAGACATTTCTCCAAAGAAGGCATACAGATGGCTAACAAACACATGAAAAGATGCTCAACATCACTCATTATCAGAGAAATGCAAATCAAAACCACAATTTGAGCCAGTCAGGATGGCTGCTATCCAAAAGTCTACAAGCAATAAGTGCTGAAGAGGGTGTGGAGAAAAGGGAACCCTCTTACACTGTTGGTGGGAATGCAAACTAGTACAGCTGCTATGGAGAACAGTGTGGAGATTTCTTAAAAAACTGGAAATAGAACTGCCATATGACCCAGCAATCCCACTTCTGGGCATACACACCGAGGAAACCAGATCTGAAAGAGACACATGCACCCCAATGTTCATCGTGCACTGTTTATGATAGCCAGGACATGGAAGCAACCTAGATGCCCATCAGCAGATGAATGGATAAGGAAGCTGTGGTACATATACACCATGGAATATTACTCAGCCATTAAGAAGAATTCATTTGAATCAGTTCTAATGAGATGGATGAAACTGGAGCCCATTATACAGAGTGAAGTAAGCCAGAAAGATAAAGACCAATACAGTATACTAACACATATATATGGAATTTAGAAAGATGGTAATGATAACCGTATATGCAAAACAGAAAAAGAGACACAGATGTACAGAACAGACTTTTGAACTCTGTGGGAGAAGGCAAGGGTGGGATGTTTCGAGAGAACAGCATTGAAACATGTATATTATCTATAGTGAAACAGATCACCCTCCCAGGCTGGATGCATGAGAAAGTGCTCGGGGCTGGTGCACCGGGAAGACCCAGAGGAATCGGGTGGAGAGGGAGGTGGGAGGGGGGATCGGGATGGGGAATACATGTAGATCCATGGCTGATTCATGTCAATGTATGACAAAAACCACTACAATATTGTAAAGTTATTAGCCTCCGACTAATAAAAATAAATTGAAAAAAAAAAAGAAAAGACAGGGAGGTATTTACATGGCTACAAAACACCCCTGGGTAGAGCTGTGGGCTACAATTGTGGCGTGTCATATTGCGGTCTTCTATAAAGTACAGGAATATTCTGCTTTAAGGAGCTAAGTGATGGAAAATGAGTATGTTTATTATTATGGGTCTTTAAATAGTACATACATTTTATATACTCTTTGATCTTTAATAATTGGAAAGATATTGATATGGTTTATATCAATGAAAAATGTGCGTAGCAAACATTATCAACAAATTGCAAATTATAGTTTTGCTCTGTTAATGGTAAGTTTCAATGGTAAAAACTTTACCTGTCGAAGGTATAATTTTAAGACATCACAGATATCATGTGAGCTAAATTCTGAAATGTCTACCAAGTGCAATCCATTTTCCAAGGCTTGACACAGTTTTTCAGTTTTGACTTTGTTTCCACATACACGATAAATTCCCTTGATAAAAGAGAAAAAAATTTGCAAAAAACTCTGCTTCAGTACAAATGGTTAAATGCATATAGCTAAATATACTTTGATTCTTACTAATATTTTAGGGAAAAAACTAGGACCAAATGAGGTAATATTTTTCAAATAAATCTGAATAAATTCAGTTATTTAGTAAAAACTGAGAGCATTGTTCTCTTTTAGTAGATCCTTATGATTAGAACAAATCACATTTATGCTTTAAAATTATTAACTTTAAAAGTTACAATGTACCTGTAGACTCAAGGCTCTATTTTCAATCTCTGAGACACACATTTTGAGTACAAAAGGGATGCCATCTGGTTCCTTTTTTGTAACTTGTGTGAATTCTGCTCCAAATAAATGCATTTTCCCCATAAGTTTCTGATGACCACAAATGATGACTAAATTTTCCAAACACTTTCGGTGACAAACAAGGAGACACTATAAGAAAATGACAAGCTTAAAATGATTAACTCACCTTAAATCTGTTCACAAAAGGACAAACTACAGGCAGAGTGATAAAATAATAAAAATGAGTTTAAAAGGTATTACTTGGGTTTGAAATGAATTTGATAGCAAAATAAAATATAAAATTATAGAAGGAACACTGTGGTTCAATTTTTAAAAAATACATTTGCAAAAGATCTTAATTGGTAAAATTAATAACAAAAAAGTATAAAGCAAAAAGGATAAAAGGGCTAAAATAATTCCAGAAATATCTTACCTCTTCACATTCAACACCCTGGAATACCACAATGCCTTCACAATCCCTGCACTTGGTGGGGGATCTCAGTTTGCGAAATTTGTGAGTGAGGGCTGCCTTTGACATCAACGTTTTCTTAAATGTTCCAAGAGAATTGGGTCCTTCCAACAGAAGCAGAGTAGTATACAAGAATTGTTAGCAGGACAGAAAAAATTATACCACATGATCCTACACTTTAGAAGATTTTTAAATAAGATTACAAAAAGTTATGACTTTAGTCTGTAACATCAAAATAAGCATCCAATGTACAGATCCCTTATAAGGCATACATTCATCAAACATTTAAGCTATGAGTAAAAATCATCATCAAATCAATTAACATTCTTCTAAAACACCATGGCACAAGGTTTCCAGAATTAGAAAATTTATAATTATTAACATGACCTTCATGACACAGGTGTTCATTACACACATCTTAGAGAAGGACCTTATAAAGTTTGGAAGAAAACTAGCCCTACGAGTTTAGTGTGCCAGGATTATTTGCATTAAAGATAAAGCTATTCTTGATTTATTACAAAATTACAGATAATAGTAGTTATCTATAAATATCCTACCAGAGGTCAGATATTCTACATTATTTTAGAAAATGATGCAAAAACAAGTATCTGGAGGTCTCAAGTGAAGCCATTAATGTAACTGACTTCTCTTTTATGTCCTTCAGTATCTATAGATTTCCCTGCCCTCAAAAAGTACATATATTTTATTTACTTTTCCTGCCTAGCTTCCTACACTATTTCTTCTGAAGGGGATTTTCTCATATAGAAATTCTCAAGAACAGAATTTCTTCTGTACACTCTGAACAATTAAGTCACTATAAAGTTTCTGAAAGGTGAAATATCTCGCCTATTGGACTTCTCTGGTGGTCCAATGATTAAGAATCTGCCTTCCAATGCAGGGGATGCAGGTTTGATCCCTGGTTGGGGGAACTAAGATCCCACATGCTGTGGGGCAACTACCAAGCCCACATACCACAACTAAGACCCAATGCAGCCAAAAATAAATAAATATATATTTAAAAAAATATCTAGCCTATTTGAGCATCACACCAATACATTTTAGCTCTAGTAGTTTTCCTGCTTATTCTTATATTTTTATTTGTAACATTTGATTAATACACTATGAACCCATACTTATAAATAATTTGTTGGGATATATCTAAGTCAATATAATGCCTTTTGTTTAATACACAGTAAAGTAATTCTTTAAGCCATACTATTTCTTCCTAATATCATGCAGTGCTACTGATTCAGCTGGTTTAGTGGAAATGTGATTCAGGTGAGTGTAATACCAGCTTCTGAAGGGGAGGGTGGTTCTCTTTCATCCAGATCATCTGCAGAAGACATGGTTCCACTGGATGGAGTTCGTGGAAGTTTTCGATGAAAGTCTCCTAAAAGAAAATTCACTGAGAGTTTAAGAAACGGGTAATGATAGCATTCTTTGAATAACACAAGTCATGCTATTTTATTAGCTACAATATCAACATTTGCTTCCATTCAGACTGTGGATACACAGGATCCTAATACTTACTCCTGGGAACAAAAGACAATGAGCCAAATCTAACTTTTCCAAATAAATCTAAAATGAACTGAGGATCACACATTCCAATGAGAACTCACTATCAACTTCTGATAGTGTTAGAGATTATAAACTCTACAAGAATAAAGAATATTTTCTATTCAAGCCTTATATCTAATATCTGACAGAATAGCTGGCAGAACAGTAAAGCTGTCATAACTTGTTTGTTGAATTAAGTGATAAAGAAATATAGTGTACCCTAAAGCTTTCTATAATAAAATATACAAAAATCTACAAACACAGCAATATAACAGTACTATCACATTTATGTTGCTAGTAAGACAGGAGCCTGGGAACCAGAGAACAATGATCCTGGCCAGGAGCTAAGAGTTCATGACATAAGTTGTCAGCCAAGGACTCTGCCAGTTGTCTCAAAGCATGTTTGGAAACAGCCCGACCAGGTAATGAGGTTTATTTGCTCCGTGCTGATCCTGCAAACAGGGCTGTCTCTAACTGGAAGGTTATACTTAACTCAAGGCTTTAAGAGCCTTCAGTTCAGAGTTAGAAAGTACTTTACTAATTATTTAAACCACTTCCTCTCTCTCAAAAGACTCCTTCCCCACTTCAAACTATGCTTAAAAGGTGGTCATCTAGTTTTTGTTTCGAATGTGTCCCCAAATGACTAAGAGATCATGAAGCCACATGTTCATTTAAAACTATTATAACAGTAAAGCAAGGGCTTCCAAGGTGGCTCAGTGGGAAAGAATCCCCCTGCCAAGCAGGAGATAGAGTTTCGATGCCTGGGTTGGGAAGATCCTCTGGAGTAGGGAATGGCAACCCACTTCAGTATTCTTGGCTGGTAAATCCCATGGACAGAGGAACCCAGTGGGAAACACACAATTCATGGGGTGGCAAAGACTCAGATATGACTGAGCAACTAAGCAGCTGCAGCAGCAGCAACTGTAAAATGACTTCCATTCATTACTGAGCAGAAACCTGCCACTTAAAAATCCCAGCCCCGGTCACATGTCTCCTTACAAAGCACTCTGACTCTCATCCCTTTCCACTTCCAGTGTCTGAGGATGGCTGTCACAAGGCTATATGCATCCTTGGGTCTTTACCCATTTATCATGTGACCAGGTTCCAAGTTTTCATCTTTATAACATGAAGTCTTACAGGATTCTAAATAATTTAGGGCTTGCTCTAGATTGAGTGTAAATTTATGGGAATAGCTAGTTGTTTTTGCAAAGCTAATTATAAATATTCAGTTAAATAGTTAGTCTCACATCTCCCAAGTGTTCCTGAACAGCAATAATTTTAAAGTAGGCCTCAAACTAGTTGGCAACAACCTGCCAGTAAACCTCAGTGCTGCACAGAAGTCATTTCTAACTTTAAAGTCAAAGATATATTTACATGAATAAAATTTTTGAACTATGTAGAACACCAAAAAAAAAGTCATTAGTCTTTGATTTTGAGGTAGGTTAAATCCTATAACATGTCTCCTGGAATGCCAAGATCCTAGGAGAAAGAAACTCAGCCAGGAAGAACAGGATTGGAGCAGTCTTTGGTAGAAGAGTGAAGGAGAAAGAACATGGAAAGCAATAGTCTCATAGGTTCAAGTGACCCATTCTTCTCTTGCTAGCTGTATTACAAGTCATTCTCTCTGAAGCCATTAAGGGAGAATTCAAAACATCTACTCTGCCTCTCTAAAGAGGATGAGATTATCTTTATCAAAGTACCTTAAAGCACATTTATAAAAAATGAGTAAGTTATCACAGGCATAAGAATCGATATTCATTTTATGGCTCATTACAGTGATTAACTACAGAACAATCCAAAAGACAGATAATAAATTATGTCCACAGAATGGAAAACTATACCGCATATAGCATAAAATAAAAGATAGCTTCTCACACATCAATAGGAATCTCAAAATTCATAAAAGAGGTCATGAAAGAACAATATGATTCCATCTGCCTAATATTCCAAAGAGGGCAAAGCTCAACTACATGAGTACTAAAATATTTAAAGTAGCCAGGGAAAGATAAACAAAATTCAGCATGATGGTTCATCTGGTGAGTGACAAGGCAAGGTTATCAAGGAGGTATACACAGGGGCCTTCTAATATACTCATGTTTTGTTAGGCTAGGTGTTGAATATATATGGGTTTGTTCTATGATTTTTATTTAAACTGTACATATACATGTACATACTTCTATGAGACAGTTCATTGTAAAAATAAGATAGTTATAAGCAACAAGGATTTACTGTATAGCACAATGAACTATATTCAGTATCTTGTACTAAACTATAATGAAAGGAATCCAAAAAGTATATAGATATATACCTAAATATATGTATAACCTATGCACTTTGCTGGACATTTAAAACTAACACAATATTGCAAATTAACTATACTTCAATTAAAAAAAAGAAAAAGGAAAATAAAGTAGCTAAGATATCCCCGAAAAGGAATATTTTCATCTTTTTTCACTCTAGACTTAATATTTATGTACCTGGACTTATAGATTCAGAATCCAGAGATCTAGATTCACTGCTTCCTCCAGTGCTCTCAGAATCACTAAACATTCCAAATGTCCATGACCTTAGAAAAGATGGACCTTTAAGAAAAGAATATTTAAAGTCAAACTTGGCTACGGATGAATTTCATACGGCAAAATACTGACATTATTTAAAATGAGACAAGTCAAACTTCTTTAACAGTGTGACACAACTGACTATAAGACAGGCTCACAACTATGAATAAAGCTTCATAAGGTTATAGTTCAAGGCCTGATTTTTAAATTATAGACCTGCAACCCATTTAATGATCACATTTAAACAATTTTAGCTTTCATGAATTAGTTCTCTTTTTAATGTGAAAAACTACCTGTTATGTCTGCACTGTTAGAGCATCTGTCCTCTTCAATCTTATTAGAGTTGTCAGGAAGGCGTACAACGTCTTCTAAAGAGTCAGAAGGTCCGTATCCAGAAATGGGAGGACTGCTTAATTGTTTATTTACATTCCTAAAAAAAACCCAAATAAAACTCTTCATACAGAAAAATGACAAATAACTAGCCCACTTTATTTTCAGAAATATTTGTTAATTTAATGAACAGAGTAATTAAATAAACTAAATATTAAGAACCATATTATACAGTTGAACTTCTTAAAAGATATGTGAATAAAACTTATTAATCATTTTTATTTATTACAGTTGAAACTTGAAAAAGAAGAGCAAAAATACAGTCAATTATTCATAGCATGGTTAAACTTTTCAAGTATAACCTGTGTGGACTTCTAAATCTCAAATAACTGAGCTCTGTGTCAAAATGGAAAGCTTTACTCTAAGTCAATACATCTTAAATATTTTAAAAATTCATAAAGTTTTAAAGTCAATGCTGTCAGTGTTAGAAATGACACCACCTGACACCAGATAAAAAACTCAGCAATAAAGATTTTATATCTAGAAATAATGTCTTCTATATGTTAATTCTCACCCATCAACTTTCTCCTCTTCAGCTGAATTTGTGGCCCTGACAAACTCACTGTACTCTTGGCCTGGGTCATAGAGTTTGGCACTATCACAGAGAGACTGTAAATTGCTTGAGAGGGAGGCAGCCTGCAGGTGCTGCATCTGGAAGAGGTTAACTGTTACCTATGGTCACAGACAAAAAAAAAAAAGGGTAAAAGAGTCATGCTACAGAGAATGCTATGTACATACACATTTATTTCAAGTAACAGTACCAAAAAAAGGCCACATAGTGAAGAATTCAACAGTGAATATCATTGTGAGCACACTATGTCACCTGACTTTGTACAAGGACTAAATTGGGGGGGGGGGGATGGAAAGTAGTTTTAATCAAGTATCTAGGAGCAATTATTTCCAGCAAAGCTGGCTTTAATCTGAAAGGTTTAAAAACACAACCCATGCCCCTACAGGTTCACAATTTTAGGAGATGGATGTGTTTCTGATGATCCTAGCTCTGTACTCTGATGGTCTGACCCTAACTGTCTACACTGAAAAACATGAAGGAAAAATTTCAATCAGAGCACTATTATTTTGAATTTCACTTCTTCAATCCTATAAAAATAGAAATGCTTTATACTTATAATGTGTCCTATAGCACTCAGTTTTTATAATTAGGTACTATCTTGAATCTATTCAAAATAATTATTTCACTGCCTAAAAACCCAAGTTTTGGGTATATTACAGCAAATAAATAGATGAAATCCCAGTGCTTATATAAGAGTTTGCATTTTCCTGAGGGTAGGGGTTGAAGACAGAGGACAAATTAACTAAGATAATTTCTGGTACTGAAAACTGCTACACACATGATGCAAGATTGTCAGGTTATGGAATATGATCAGGTATGTGTTTACAGGAGGGTACTTTTGATATGACAGTTTGGTGAAGGACTCTCTGAGGGGGTAATATCTGAACTGAGACCTGATATAAGAAAGAACCAGTGAGAAGTTCCAGGGAGAAAACCAATACAAATAGAAGAGATAGTGCAAAGACCCGAGGGCAAAAGTGAGTAAGAAAGAACCTGTCATGCTCAAGAAACGGATGAAAGGTCAGTGTGGAGTTTCAGTCTGAGATAAAGCCAAACAGGGAAGAAGCCATCTAAACCAAGGTAAGGTACAACAGGAAGTCAGTGGAGGGTTCCCTGGCGACTCAGTCGGTAAAGAATCCACCTGCAGTGTGGGAGACCTGGGTTCGATCCCTGGGTTGGGAAGATCCCCTGGAGGAGGGCATGGCAAGCCACTCTAGTATTCTCGCCTGGAGAATCCTCCATGGTCAGAGGAGCCTGGAAGGCTGCAGTCCATGGGGTCGCAAAGAGTCGGACACGACTGAACAACTAAGTACAACATGCAGCACAGCACGGGATTTGTAACATGGTCTGATTTTTGTAAATGCCACTCCCACTTCTGTGTGGGAAATGTGAATGAATGCCAGATTTCCATCAGCTTAATGTTATTTCAAAGCCTGCCATGTTTCCTCTTCATCTCTTTTGATTACCAGATGATATGTTGAACTTCTGATTAGCCTCTAAGTCCTTTCCAAGGTAGACAGGCATTCTCCAAGGATAACTAAGAGTCAGCATAAATAGTATTTGAAAAGAGCACATAGCAGTATCACTTGTTCCTCCTTCAAGTAACATAGGAAATTCAAATTGTGGATGGTAAAGTTTAAGTCCAACAATTAGCTATAATTGGGAATTCTCTGGTTAATGGTAAACTGAACTGAACTCTCTTGATCCTAAAGGTAATTGTATGTCCATTTTTAATACTTTTTAATAAACTTTATGAATCTAGTTAGAAACAATAATAATTAAAAGAAGCCAAATGAATACACAGGCATAATCAATCAACTCATCTGCTCAACGTTTGCCTATGGGTACTTATAAATAAAGCTTTATATGTATTGGAAGTCCAATCTTAAAATCTCTTTTCCCTAAATTATTCAGTCTTCTCCCTCACCTAACAGAAATACTGAAGATTGAGGTCCCCATGGGGTAGATCCTGCAGGACTTGCTGGGAATCTTCACTGGGGTGGCTCATAGATACTTCAAAAATCATCACGTCTCTAAGATCTTTTTGTCCCCCAATCCCCTCCTGAGTCTGGGACTTCGTCCTTTTCTTCTAGGTCCCCAATGAATAACAGCAGAGTGGCCTAAGTGCTTCATAAAGGGTAAATGACCAAATGAGTAGTAGTAGAAAGTGTCATCAGTCAAGGTCATTCTGAAATGCTGCATGTTTTCTGTTACTACTCATTCAAGAACAGAGGACTTTCAACTCTATGCCCGGCTTTCATCATCTACATTTAATCTTTAGTTACTCCATGGGCACACAGATTAGCACAAATTTTTCTGACAGTTGCTGAAATAGAGTATTTCATAATTTCCAATCAATGGGAAAAGTTTCTCTCATATACATTAGCAATAATCTAAATTTTTTGTTCAATATTTCTGTCCTACATTTTTTAAAAAGATAAGTTTTTCATGAATGTTCTTTCAAAGGAAAGGAAAACCTCTTGGCCTAATGTTTCCCATCCTTCAAAGTCCGATAATTTAATTAGGGCTTTGGTAATTGGTTTGGTCATTTCTCCTTGTTTTCACTTAGTAATGCAATTTTTTTGGGGCCACATGCATTCCAGGATCTTAGTTCCTAGACCAGGGATTGAACTCACTTCCCTCCTCAGTGAAAGCAGGGAGTCCTAGCCACTCGACTGCCTGGAAATGCCCTAGTAATATAATTATGATCTACATCCCATATCCTTCAACACGTCCTAATTTAATACAGAGTAATTCTTGATGTTCATGATGTAACTTATAATTTTGCTGGGACTGATTTATGTATCTTCCTTAAGATAGTGAGTGAATATAACTGAGTGTCCAGCATCTTTATATTTCAGATGACTTTTCTTTTCAATGATAGATGTAATAATAGATCCTAGAGTAAGAACAAAATTCTTTTGAAAACAATCTGAGAGATGGTGATGCAAAATAGTCACCAAAAATTCCCCCATTCTTCTTTGATGGAGAAGAAAACAAAGAAATCTGAGAAAATTATGGCTCTTACCTTGAGGGGAAAAGCACCTACCTACATTCAAGAACTGAATGCTGGATTTGGTATCTGCTTAGATCTGCATGTGAATAATATCATAGAGAAGGACTAAAACTAATTAAACTGGTTCAAAAGAACTCCATCTAATAAGAAATTCTGCTCACAAATATATATATAGAGAAACTTCCCATAAACAGACTATACATTATATGCTGTAGTGATTTTCAGGAGTTTGTGTATTTGTTCAAGTTTGGAGAACTTGTATCTCAAAGTCTACTTCATACACGGATAAGTACTGCTCTACAATTTTTCAGATGTATTAATTCTCTCTCCCTAGATAAATGCTAAAACTCCTTGAGAACAGGTATCTATCTTATCTTTCTTTTAAATAAATAGTAGGCAATAATAATAGTGGTATCATCATGCATATGATATGACTCTAAAGGCACAAATGAAGAACTAAAAAACCTCTTAATGAGGGTGAAAGAGAAGCATGAAAAAGCTGGCTAGAAAGTCAACATTCAAAAAACTAAGAGCATGGCATTTGGTCCCAACACTTCATGGCAAATAGAAGGAAAAGAAGTGGAAACGGTGACAGATTTTACTTTCTTGGGCTCCAAAATCACTGCAGATGGTGACTGCAGGCATGAAATTAAAAGACGCTTGCTCCTTGGAAGCAAAGCTATGAGAAATCTAGACAGCATACAAAAAGCAGAGACATCACTATGCTGACAAAGGTCCACATAGTCAAAGCTATGGTTTTTCCAGTAGTCAAGTACAGAGAATAGGACAATAAAGAAGGCTGAGTGCCAAAGAATTGATACTTTCGAAGTGTGGTGCTGGAGCAGAGACCCTACTGAGTCCCTTGGATTCCAAGGAGATCAAACCAGTCAATTCTAAAGGAAATCAACCCTGAATATTCATTGGAAGGACTGATGCTGAAGCTGAAGCTCCAAAACTCTGGCCACCTAATGCAAAGAGGTGGCTCACTGGAAAAGACCCTGATGCTGAGAAAGATTAAAGGCAAAAGAGAAGCATGCAGCAGAGGATGAGATGGTTAGATAGCATCACCGACTCAATGGACATGAATTTGAGCAAACTTCAAGAGATACTGGAGGACAGATGAGGCTGGCATTTACAGTCCACGGGGTCACAAAGAGTTGGGCGTAACTTAGCAACTGAACAATGGGCATTAACAAATACAAATGTTATATACAAAATTGTTTGCTTAGTTGCTCAGTCGTGTCCAACTCTTGTCCAACTCAGTTGTGTCCGACCCCACAGACTGGAGCCTGCCAGGCTCCAAGGGATTTTCCAGGCAAGAATACTGGAATAGGTTGCCATTTCCTTCTCTAACAAAATTAGGTAACTTCTTGTTTATATCACTCAAATTAAAAGAAATCATAATTGTTGGGTCACCAAACAGCATCACTTTTTTAGATGAAGGCAGACAAACAAGATTAAGCTCATGAGAGAACTCAAAACTATGTTACATGAAGTAGTCAGGTTGGGGGGTCTGAAAAAAAATCCAGGAAGAGATATTTAAAGTGCTATCTTGTGGAAGAGGGATTATATCAATACAGCACAACTTGAAAGGTCTACAAGAAAACAGATTTTTTTTTTAAAGCTCAATATACACGTCATACTAATTCTGGAGTTGTTCAAACCCAGGCTGGGTAATCATTCACAGCAAGATAGCACAGTATTTAGAAGCACAAGCTCTGAAGTCATTCTTAAAGTCTGGCTTTCCAAATTATATACTGGGTGACTTTGATGTTAAGTTGTTTATAACTACACTAAACATTTGTTTCCAAAAAAGTTAATGTGCAATAAATCTTGTATAGGATCCTGTTCAAAATACAGATTCTGATATCAAAAGTCTAGGCTGAAACCCCAAATTCTGCATTTCTCATAGACTTCCAAAGTAACAAGAATGTGACTGGTACAAGGAATACACTTGGAGAAGAAAGGATTTCTAAACTTTAGTTTCTCATCAGTAAAATGGAGCTTAAAACAATTAAGAGTTACCCAATATGATTTTGTGACAATTAAATGAGTTAATGAAGACAAAAAGCTTAATACACTGGC